CCAGCCCCAGTATGTTCTCGTGTGCGGAACAGCATCTGCCTCCGCAAATAAGTATCCCGCACCTCCGGCAGGACCTAGCTTTGGCATACAATGCTGTTCGGTTTAGGGATTTGGAGCAGGCCAAGTCTTGGAGAACCGAAGCATTAAAACCCGTCGAAAATGATGGAGAGCACTAGAAGGGTCTTGTTTCACACCAGTTGGAGAGCAGAGAGGGTCACTTCTCACCACTCAAGTTCGAACACCAAAGCTAATGGGTGGCATTAGGAATATTTCAGAAGAACCACACATCAGAAACTCATTCTGGTTTTTTTAATACGTGTAATAATTGAAAACATGGTTCTACATGCTGGATTTAATGAAATCCTCCCCTTCTGGCAGGCCTGCACAAGCCAAAACCAAGCTTAAAACGAGTGGACAGTGACCCTTCAGAAGAAGGGACGTTGAAAGCATTTTTGTTGTACTGGCAGGGCGAGGGAGGGGAAGGGACACAGGACCCAGGACTGTGTTTTGCTGGGAAGCATGACGACATCCAGGGAAGGAAGGGAACACTCTCAGCCTTCTGGCCTAAATTATCTGCTAACACAAATAATCAAATTCCAGGGACCACACTGCTCTGGCGCCACTAAAACAAGGGGGAGGCCTGGCCCCAGCACTGCATGAGCAGGTGGCAGCCCGCGTCTGACCCGCTCAGGATATTCAAGTGCGATATACAAAATACTGATGCTCTCTAAGGAAGCCAGCATCGCTCACAGTATCGTGGGAAGTTTTTAATGGCTCACTCAAGGCAAGGCCTCTAAAATGTTTATATTAATACTTACATGTTGGATAGCCACTCATTTGGTCTCAGCTGGAAACCAGTCCAAACAGCTGAGAAACATCTGGCCGCTAACCTTGGACAACATCTAATCTGGTAGCCCAGGGATTTAAGAGGTCTCTTCGGAGGGACAGAAGTTTGGCAGATACCTTACTGAGTTCTCTGCTCTGCTACGGTTGTTTCTCAAGTCCTGCTCACTGCTCTGGGACGACACATACAGCCAGTGTACATCCCAATCCCATTTACACAGCATCCCAGTCTCTGTGACTGCAAAAAGCTGTAATTAGATATTACTCCCAATTTCCAGGAATACTCCTGAAGGTGTGTGACTGTATGTGTGCTCCCCCCACCTTGAGAAGAGAGAAAGCAGCTGTTTGCCAGCTCACAAAAACACACCTCTCTCCGTTACCCTGCCCTAGTCTGCGTGCGCGCAGGATCGGTGCCGCCAGCCCTCCAGCCTCCCCTCTGCTCTATCTTCCCTCTGCCTGCCCTTACTACCAACAAATAAGCACGTATCCGCCCCAGAAAGCCTCCACCACAAAGCAAACAAAAATCCTGTTTTCTGTAGATCTGGAGACCGCTATCAGGCCAATTATGAACATGTGGTTTTAAAGCAGCTCTATAAAAGGAGCAAGTAGAAGGGAAAATGGACTCATCATTTCTGATGAAGATGGCTCAAAAGTTTGCTTCCCTTTTCGTTCCAAAACTCCTGCTTGTTGGTTTGGGTTTTTTTCCAGAAGGAACTTCAGCTTTGGCTATCCTGAAACATTCTTTGGTGAGTGGAGAGCTAATGAAATAAGACAATATAAAAGAATAGATGTTGAGCAATAGAGAGGGGGAAGGGACTTCTAGACAGACCATTTGACATTTGTTCTCCCCTCCTATTACCCATCAAGGTATCACAAGGCTTTCTAGACATGTCAGGGCAAAGCCACCAACAACCTGGCTCGAGAGGCAGAAAATTAGGACAGGACCCACATTTCTGAAAACCCTTTGTAGGCTTTATTAAAAAGGAGATAAGGATGAAAAAGGTGACAAGATGCTTGACAGATATAAAATTATGAGAATCTAGCTTATCTCCTTCCACGTTGTCTTCTGTTCTTTGCTTTTTTGTTACAACAAATGTGGGAGACATCAGGGGAAATGTAAAGGCACAAGCACCAAGGACGTAGCACCAAGAAGGGAGGACTAGGAAGATGCTCAATAAAGGCTAAAAAAGTCTCTTTCCTAGCAGAGGCTGAGCGTGCTCGCTCTGGTCCAACGAAGCACTTAAGTGTGCGCCTAACTTAAATGTAACTTCCCTTGGGCTCTTCACAGGCTTAAAAGTTAAGCACATTCTCCAGCAATCTGCTACAGCAAGACCAGAGAAAATGAGAAGCTATTAAGGGACCTGAATCGTAGTCAACAGCAAGGTTAGCATGCTTTTGGAAAGCACCCTAGCCAAAGATTAACGCAATATGGCAATTTCCACTGACTTCGGAAAACTCTAAGCCATCAGAAAAAGCTTCTTAAATATAAAATACTATGTAAAAATATTTAGGTATTAAGAATATCACTATCAATTTCTCTTCACCTTCTTTCAGCTCAAGGTAGATAGAGCTTGAAGCAGACACATATTTACAGGTATGTGCAGAACTGGAACTCCCTTGTTTCAGTGTAAGCTGGTGCCAGCTTGAAAAAAATGCTGAATTCACTGTGTGCTGTGTCTTGATGTAGGAAACACTATCCTGCAGGCAAAGCACCAACCTCAAATGCCTAACGGTCAATTCCCACAAACAGCAAGGTAAGCCACAAATAGCTCCTACAATTCTGGCAAGACACTACAAAGACTGGTATTTGGCAAAGGAGTAAGAGCATGTCCCACCGCATATCTCTGCTGGGTTTGCTTCCCTCGTTAAAACTGGCATAACTTAACACTGTTCCTCTACATCACATCTGCCTGGTAGTGCCACAGGGGGCTGTGGTATCAGGGCTCTGAGGCAGCGCTTAAGATAAAGCATTCAGAGCAGCCCGTCCCTCGGTCAGGCTGTTTGCCCAGACCGATGGGCGCAGCCGCGCTCACAGGCTGCCTTTCCTGCTCTGCGTCCTTGTACAAGTCTAGGGTGAACCACAGACAGCACCGACGTCTCACAGAGCAGCTGATGACACTTTCTGGCTTAAAAAATTATTACTCTAATGATAGTGGAAGAAATTTAAATTTGAAATCCAAAGCACTGCAGGAAGTTGCAAGAGCACAGGAAAGGCATATTTAAGCATATACTCCCTACATAAACACACAGAGCTTAATTACAACAAAGCAAGAAGCAAACAACAATTAGTCTTTATTAACAATTAAAATCTCACTGCAGTGCTGGTTTTCCCCCTAGCGAGTTAATGCCTGTACAGTGAGAAGTAATGATAAATGGGCTTTTAAAATTGAAACTGATTCAGGATAAATATGAAAAGTGATTTCCACAAGAGGACTTAACATTTAAATTGAGCAGCATTTGCACCTTACTCAGACCCAAGCCTTGTAAAGCTTGCTAGCTCCCTCTACTGTCTTCATACTCTGAGCTGACTCAAAAGCTCGTTCCACACCCACGGAAAGCACGGGCAGGTGAGGGGTTTTTATGGGAAGTGTCCAGCACATTTGGTACAAGGATGGCTCATGGACCCTCTGCAGGAAGCAGTGAGGGGTGGCCACACGGCGATCTCCTGCTCAAACCCATCTCCTCCCTGAGCGCCGCTTCAGCCACCTCCAGCAGCACCTGCTCCGAGGAACAGCATTTATTTTACAGCCAATCCGCTTATTTATTATCCCCTCGTATCTTTCTCTTAAGAGACACTGGTTCAGGACATAAACTGAGGGTCAGCAGGGATCAACTAAACACTTTGCCTTTACACTGCCAGAGTTAGGATAAATACAGGTAAGATACAATTCCGTTTCCCCACCTCATTTCTGAAACATAAACAAGCAACCAGGCTGCAGGACGACTCGTCTCTTCCACTACATAGTTTGTAGGTCGCATACATTGACAAGGCTACAACACGTAGATTCAATGGCAGCTGACTCTTAGCGCGTTATTTTTCCATACCACTCCTACTTGGTTGAGAGTGGAACAGCAGTGCATTGCAGCACTGACGTGTTCAAAGAGCGTAACTCCTAGGTGAGAAAATTTACAGCGAACGCCCCTTTTTTTAAAGCACCACCCAACTTTGTATGGCAAATGTTAACACATGGCTCTTGCCAGTACAGCTCCTGGCAGAGCATGGCCCAGGTCGAGGTGGAACACTCTTAACCTGTACAACCTGCAAAGCAAACCAGACAGTTTCAAGGTTTTGTTACTTGAAGTACGAAGGTTGGGGGAGGCCCCAAACATGCACCAACCAGGATATCCTCCTGAACAGGGCAAGGGCACTCTTACAAGAGCTCTGAAAAACAGAGATAATCAAGCAGCACGCTATAATTATCAAGCATTGTTCTGATTCCCATTTAACATCTTTAGATACCAAGCTATTTTAAATAAACACACGCACATGATGCTGACAAAGTATTAGTCTCATTGTCTTCATACCCTCTGAGCTACCAAAGGATTGAGTAGTATTCCAGGCTAGAAGCCAGCAGCAAGTTTCACAAAGTTTCACAAAAGGTCATTCCCTTTTTCATTCCTAACCCAGGAACAACCTTGTTTCACCACAACGCTGAAGTGAATGCACGAGTACCTTCTGGCAATCCTCTGAAGTGGAGATGCTTTATGCTTGGAAAAGGCCAAAATTTCACAGCCCCATTTCTATCCAGATTTGGAGAGGTGGTCAGCTTTTTACACTTCACTATTTGAGGGAAAACAGGTAAAATTTCAGGTTGTGGAGCTCTCCTTGAACTTGACAGACAGCATAACATGCAACTGTATGGGGATTTGATTTCCTCAGGACTACAGCGCATAAAGGTCATTGCAATGACGGAGTACCTTCAGACAGCACATGTATCTAGAAATTCATTTCAGCAGTTCCTTAGCATCACTAATGTTACCAATTGCCAAGTCTATGGGAGTCTGAGGTTTAAACTAAAACTAAAGATTCTCCTTGGCACAGCAGCAGCAGCTGGATAAAGACAATTGCCTTTCGCCACCAGTTTACATACTGTTAGCTAAATGTGATCTGTAGGAAGATACTTCCAACAAATCAAGAATTCCATAAGGGATCAAAATTCTAAACATAAATACAATTAAAGCCTTCTAATATTAATGCACACTTTTTATTATATTAAAATCAGGCAATGGTCTGATACAATAAAAAGGCTGCTTATGGAATACTGTAATGTTAAACTTTAATTACAGAGGATGTTAAATCCTTACAACTAATATTTTCCTCAAAAGAGTTAATGGAAACATCAATTGTTCATTGACTTGATAGCTGCTGCTTTAAAATGTGTTTATTTTTAATTTTTCTTTTTTTCTTTTTTTTTTCTTTTTTTACACAAACACTGAATTTTTCATAAAACTTAGGACACACTAGGTCGGTTGTATGTAAGCTTGCATCCACATTTCAGCAGTTAGTGGTCCGAAACAGTAAACCAGAAAAGGCAGTGATTTGCCAGGATGCAAAGCCAATAAAGGTCCTCAATCTGCTGTATGCACTGCTTCCCCAAAATCTTCACTGAAGAGATTTCTCTTCTAAGACTTACAGAATCCTAATAAAATCTACTACACTGATTTGATTTGTCTGGAGTCATTACATCTTTAGAATGGCCAAACTTAAGTGCAACATTTTGTTAATTAACATTCTTGGGTCAATCCAAAGCACCAAAATAGAACTATTTGAGCTGGAGCGTGTGTTCAGAATCTCTATGTGCAGAGTTTCCCCATTAAAGTTTGGCAGCAGAAGATTTCGGCAATCCTGGTAAATTACTGCTCTTTTCACCATGTCAAAAGCCTATCTAATAACATCAGCCGTGGCCAGCTTGGCGGTGTGGCAGCAGTGCTGGAGGGACAGGGAAAATCCAAGTTTGCGAGCAGAATAGATACTCTTGTTTCCCAGGCTGGTGAAGACTAAATTTGTTGCAAAACCAAAATGATAAGCAAGAGGGAACAGGTCAAGTTATTGCCCCAACACTTACCCCTGCTGGCCAGGGGTGAGAAGAGTCACAAAGAGGGGCAAAAAGAAAGCAGCACCCCCACTAAAAGAGGGGAAGAGGGAAGAGATTAAAAGAACCCTGAATCCCTCACCCAAAGCCCATGTCACTGGTGAGGGGGACCAGGAAGAGAAATACAATCTATGCCTTGGCCAAAGGGAAGAAGGAAAGCTTGCCCTAGATTATCAGGGCATTTAAAAAACCCAAAAACAACCAAAAACAACCACAGTCACATTCAGCCTTTACTAGAGATAGCACAAAGGGAGGGATGACTGAGGTTAGCACACATCCCCACTAGTAGTCCATAAAGCCCAGTGTAGTACTGGAAGCAAAAACCTTTGTGTCTACTCTAATAAATAGCCCTGAGCTTCGACTCTATTGCAAAAGACAGAAAAAGAAAAAAAAACCCAGGCCAGACACACAGCAAGGTGATTGTGGGATGTATGCTTTCACAGTTAAGTTAGATGTGCCACACTGGTCTTGACAGTAATAAATTTAAATAGACTTTTCCTGATACCAGAAGTTCAGCTATGTGGACAGTGGTTACACGACAGGATTATTTGTTATAGCACAACTTATATTTCAAATGAAAAAAATTAGTATCATTTACAGTATCTCAAGAAAAACTTCCTTTGAATGGGAACTTCCTTTCCAGTATTTTGAGGTCTACAAGATGCATCTAGAAAATTTACTACTGTGGAAAATGAAGACAGCTTAAATTGAATAAGGGGGGCATGTTTGTGGTTTTTTTTTTAATTAATTGCTGTAACATTGTCCTTCAGGTGGCTGAGGAAGTTTCATATTTTCTTTAGACATCATTAGACGCCGAAGCTCTTGCAGAACAACTTTGATACTATAAGAATTCTGCCATTTTGCTAGGACTGATATGGCTCTGGGGTCCACCTAAAATAGACAAAAAGACCATTCCTGTCAGAATCGATACATTTGATATAATTAACTCCCCACACACACCCTCCAACTAAAGATCCTATAAGAAATCTGAGCAAGAGAAACCAAAGAATGCAAAAGAAGCAAGTGGTTTCCTAGAAGCGTAATAAAACCCCGCATGATGCAACTATTTGTGAGTTGCAAAAGGGCAGGAAAAGTCAATTCTACGTTTTGATTTCAGAACACACTTGGCTCGTACACTTTCCTCCTACCCCCTTTCCTTCTACTCAAAGAAAATGGCATCAGCAAGCAATAAATAGTTAAGCGAGTTGCAAGTATAAACAAAGCATTAATTGGAAGCTGCACATGAAAACCATGTTAAAATTAGTAAAAACCAAAGACTTACCACTCCATTAGAACTATTTACTCCATTCATATTAATTTTTGTTACAAATCTTACAAATGGAGGTGCTTCTGGATACTTAGGCCCACATTCTATTTTAAGGCTGTATATTCTGTTTTCATAAATTGTCTGGGGGAAAAGAAAGGGGGCAACAATTAAATCAGGCAGTTCAATAAGCATTTGGTTAAAACAGTGGTTACTTTAGGGACATGTAAACTACTAAACATAAGGGCACCCACTTATACACTATGCTGGCTACCTCTGTTTCGGGTTCATTTTATAATATTCAGAGTATCAAATGTTACCTCTTCAGGGTAATAAATTCTACTGGTCTTTTAAGCATCAAATCTTCATATAAGGAATGAAACCGGTACTGCTTCCCATTCACCAACTGAAATGATATTTTTAATCATCATACAGCTCAGATACCTACTTTTTAACCAATCTTTACAAAGCAGCTTTGTTTTATCAGTTTACTGATCACACACACTACCTTGAAATTGAAGCCACAGCTTTAGCTTAGGCAACTATCTGAAGTCAGCCTGTCCTAGAACTGCACTTGAAAAATATTCTTTGGTCATAAACCAATGTGCCAGTTCTCAGAAAGGGGAACACTCCAAGATTCAACACATTGCAAAGTACATCCTGATCCCAAACAGCATTATCACTTTGTCTCCACCGCAGTAACACTCTGTTACACTTAACAGCTAATAGAAATCATGGATCATGAGTTTTTAACTAACCAATCAATGGGTATAGAAGAGAGACAAACGTTAACAAGGCTACACTGATTCTTCAGTATTTAAAATTAATTAAAAGAAACAACAACAACAATGTTATTTTGCGGTCTGAGAATAACTACTTTTGATGTACTGATCTGGTGCAGCCTGGCACAGAGCTCCAGCTAAGCTGGGCAATATAGGCAGCTGGCAGAAATATACAACAGGAACAGGATCATAATGGAGAAGTTCAGGCAGTCAAGCTCTCCCGATTTAGAGCTTCTAACACAATTTCCTGCACCCTCAACATTGCAATGAACATTAAATTCACAAGGCAGAGACCATGAGCAAAGATCCAGGTGAACATGCGAGCGCAGATGCCCAGAAGCAGCCAGCAGCTCTTGCTCACTTGTGGCAGCAGAGCACCATGGCCCCATCAGGATCTTAAGAATGGTTGCCCAACGTACAAAAACTTCTCACTATAAAACTCCATCCAATCCCTTTCAAGGGCCTGTTATGCCCCTGAACATCTTAATATTTTCCTTAATATTAATGGGCATTTTGATGCAAACCACTACCAAAAATATAAGAACTGACTTCCTGATTCAGCTGCTGTTCTCATCTGGGCAAATGAAGTGGCTTTAAACCAGCCTGCAGCCACCCGTGGTGGGACCAGCACCTGGCCAGTGCTGGCTGGCAGTGGTACCTCTCGGTTACTCCTCCAGCACCTCAGCCAGACAGCCTTTCAGATGCCCAGCCAGGGTGATGACAAACTGAATGCTGTCACAAAGTTTTGGGGAAAAAAAGTCATCTGTCAGCTCTGCTTGGCCTGCCCAGGTCTCCTGATCGAGCCCCTGAGCATGCCTTGCACACAGAGGAATTAACAGCCCAGAGGTTTGTGCAGTTTTTTAGGGTCTTTGCAAATAGCCACACCACATTAAGACTAGTGAATGGAAAGCCTTGACTGTGCACATGTCTAGAGCCGATATAAAATATGTGCACGTAAAGCTGAAGTTTTGACAGTGCCACTGTTTTTAAATAGCTTGTATAAACAAGATGAATCACTGGCTGCAAAATCATCCGCACAAAGTCTGGAAAGGAGAAGCATGCTTCCATGTATGGTAGCAGGGACACTCAAAGCAGCAGCACATCTAACTCTGCACCACAGTTCATTTTCCCTCTGGGATGCCCAGTGTAAGATTCTTCCACCTGCTACAAGTGTGACTGCTTTCTACTCAGAAGGAAATAGGATTGAAAATTTTTTTTCCAGAGCCAGTATTGCCACATCCTATTAAGAAAAAAAAATGGTAATAATATAACTGAGTATGAACAGTGCTAAAAGCAGGACAACCACTTAGCAAACAAGAATGACTGAAAGTTCCCAGAATCTCTCGCAATACAGCCTGTTGCTTTCAAGCAATAAGCTAAAAAGAAGTCAAGACACTTTTGGAAAAAAATCTATATTCATAAGTGTGTCAGAAACACAAAAGAGGCACAGCTGAATCATCTTCTGTGATAGTCCTCTAGCCCTGGTTAGCAGTATGACATGAACTAAAAATTTCTATCACTGCTGACAAGTCAGCACGTGCCTGTTTGCACATTTCAGTTTCTATTTAATTTTCTAAATTAGATTTCAAGGTTGCTTAAATTTTCCATAAAGTGTATGCACACAGTGAGCTTTCTTCACAGTTTTAATGCAGGCTCATTAACACTCTCCTTACGTTCTAAAATTAAATGCCCTTCTAGAAAATGATTTGGGCATATCATAAACGAAATGCTCAGGAATGGGGAGATATTAACAATGGCAGACAAAAAGTAAACACCACTTCTGGATGAGATAGAAAATACTGCACGTGTAATGCCATTATAATATAAATTCTTGTACTACCTCACTGTATGTCAGAAAAGGCAACTGACAGAATGGAAACACATAGGGCAGTAGCATGATTAAAGGTCTGTAAAGGTTTCCATACAATAGATTGAGAACACTGGAATTACTGAGAAGTGGTACTGAGGCCAGATATAGAAGACAACATCTACTATTGCAGGAAGGAGAATCAACTGCTCACACTTCATGGTAAGGATATTAAGGAAACAGAACAGAGATACACAGTGAAACTGGAGACAACAGACAAGTTTTGGTTTCAGAATACATACAATACACAATACATACATACAATGCACAGTTAAGACCTTAAGTTCACTACCAGAGTGGAGACCCACAGTTTAGTAGGGCTTGGAGGGGAGAAGAGAGAGAGAACGCAACAATACTACCAAAGAGACCAGTAGCATTATAAGAAGCTACTTTGGGAGAGAACATTCAGAGAAGAAACTGAATTCATTAAAATTTGAGTTTCCTGAGTTAGCTGAAACTCTACAAGAGCAAGTCAGTACTGCTGCAATAAAAACCAACCCATAAACTCAACAAGAAACAGCAGAAAGACTAGCAGTACTGAACAAAACATCCACGTTTTACCTACATTAGCTCCATATGTAATCTCACTAGCCGAAGGATTTTAAACCTTGCTGTATTCAAGAGTACAGGATACTAGAATCCTGGAATCTCAAAAGTTATGTCTTAATGAATCTGTAAATATAAAGCAGACATGTAACAAAACTAACCAGAGAAATGCACTAAAAATATTCCAAATTATAAGCAAAAAGACATATAGATACATGAAACCCATTAAAATACGGAACTTGAACCTTCAACATAAATCACTCGCTAAAGTGTTTTTTCACCCATTTGTGTTTTGTTTGTTTTCTACTTCAGTGGTTAGATTAAGAGAGGAAAAGGCGGAAGAAAAAAAAACCCAACAGTACTATTTTAATATTTACGTGGATACTTACTCTTGGAGGCCCAATAATCATTCCTGTCCATCTTGTAAGTGTCATATCTTCATCATCTTCAAGGCCCCAGCTAACTGTTCCATCACCTACTCCTTTCTGACCTTCTTCAAGTTCTTCCAACAGACGAAAATTACGAGGAACTTTTACTCCTGAAAACAATCATAAAAATACTTTGAGTTGAGAAATCTAGTAAAGAAATAAAGCTAGTGTAATTTCACTGATACTTTTGGTAATTCTACGGAAAATACTTTGGGTAAAAACCATAAAAATATCAGTATTTTTTGAATGACAATCTTTCAAGACTTTATGAAAAAGATATCCCCATATTTAGCCTAGATTTTACAAGCAAAATCAAGGTATCCACAACTAAACATGCTATAAGGCTAACAGGCCAGATATTAGGGCAGGCAGTAAAATGGAAGGAAATCTCTGTCCATTCAGAGATACACACAGTATTATGGAGCTCTAATTAGCGCTTGTCTATATGATTTATAGTATAAACATTTAGAAGATTCTACAAAATGACACCATGAGAGGCTTGACATCACTCAACTCACTCAGAGCTTTTAAAAATACCATTCAAAGCAAATGAAACTCTTTCATAACATTAGTAGGTTAATCTGAAGTTAAATTTAAGTGGGCTTTGTCAGCAGCAATAGCATCCTTTGTACTTATGACCTCCACCACCGAGGAAGTTCAGCACTTCTTAATTGCTGGCACATTTATCCTCAAAATAGGGAAATTTTCTTATCCCCGTGTGCTGGTTTTGGCTGGGATAGAGTTAATTTTCTTCCAGTAGCTAGTATGGGGCTATGTTTTGGATTTGTGCTGAAAACAGTGTTGATAACACAGGGATATTTTCGTTACTGCTGAGCAGTGCTTGCACAGAGTCAAGGGCTGTTCTGCTTCTCTCACCCCCCCACCAGCGAGGAGGCTGGGGGGGCACAAGGAGTCGGGAGGGGACGCAGCCGGGACAGCTGACCCCAACTGACCCAAGGGGTATCCCAGACCATAGGACGTCATGCTCGGCATATAAAGCTGGGGGAAGAAGAAGGAAGGGGGGGGACATTTGGAGTGATGGTGTTTTTTCTTCCCAAGTCACTGTCACACATGTTGGAGCCCTGCTTTCCTGCAGATGGCTGAACACCTGCCTGCCGATGGGAAGTGGGGAATGAATTCCTTGTTTGCTTTGCTTGCGTGCGCGGCTTTTGCTTTCCCTATTAAACTGTCTTTATCTCAATCCGCAAGTCTTCTCACTTTTACTCTTGCAATTCTCTCCCCTATCCCATCGGGGCAGGGGAGTGAGCGAGCAGCTGTGTGGGGGTTGGTTGCCAGCTGGGGTTAAACCACAACACCCCATTACATTAATGGAAAACAATGGCATAGAGAGCTTAGGTGACATATGCAAGGTCACACACTAAGTCCGTGGTGAAGGAGGATCTTGAATCCACGCCACAGGGGACTTAATTACTCATATTCTACAAGGTATCCATACCTCAGTCATCACAAAACATAAATGCACTCTAGGCCACCACTTCTCCTTTGCATTGGGTTTGCGTAGCAAGGTTTTGGTAGCAGGGAGGCTACAGGGGCAGCTTCTGTGAGCAGCTGCTAGAAGCTTCCCCCATGATAGAGCCAAGGCCAGCTGGCTCCAAGACGGACCTGCCGCCAGCCAAGGCCGAGCCCATCGGCGACAGCGGTGGCGCCTCGAGGAGAACACATTTAAGAAGGGAAAAACAAAGCTGCTGCAGCACAGAAACCGCAGGCAGAGAGAGGAGTGAGAACATGTGAGAGAAACAACCCTGCAGACACCAAGGTCAGTGAAGAAGGAAGGGGAGGAGATGCTCCAGGCGCTGCAGCGGAGATTCCCCTGCAGCCCATGGGGAAGACCATGGCGAGGCAGGCTGTCCCCCTGCAGTCCATGGAGGTCCACAGGGGAGCAGATCTCCACCTGCAGCCCGGGGAGGACCCCACGCTGAAGTAGGGGGATGCCCAAAGGAGGCTGTGACCCCGTGGGAAGCCCGCGCTACAGCAGGCTCCTGGCAGGACCTGTGGCCCCATGGAGAGAGGAGCCCACGCTGGAGCAGGTTTTCTGGCAGGACTTGTGACCCCACGGGGGACCCACGCTGGAGCAGTCTGTGCCTGAAGGACTGCAGCCCGGGGAAGGGACCCACGCTGGAGCAGTTCATGAAGAACTGCAGCCTGTGGGAAGGACCCACACCGGAGAGGTTCATGGAGGACTGCCTCCCATGGGAGGGACCCCACGCTGGAGCAGGGGAAGAGTGTGAGGAGTCCTGCCCCTGAGGAGGAAGGAGCAGCAGCAACTGATGGCAACCCCCATTCCCCATCCCCCTGTGCCACTGTGGGGGAGGAGGTAGAGAAAATCGGGAGTGGAGTTAAGCCTGGGGAGAAGGGAGGGTTGGGGGGAAGGTGTTTTAAGATTTGTTTGGTTTTATGTCTTACTACCCTACTCTGACTTGATTGATAATAAATTAAATTACTTTTCCCTAAGTCTAGTCTGTTTTGCCCATGGCTGTAATTTCTGAGTGATGTCCCTGTCCTTATCTCGACCCATGAGCCTTTTGTTGTATTTTCTCTCTCCTGTCCAGCTGAGGAGGGGAGTGACAGAGGGGCTTTGGTGGGCACCTGGTGTTCAGCCAGGGTCAACCCACCACATCCTTCCAGGTACCTGTGTGAAGCATATCTCTCTCTAACAACAACGAAATTATTGCCAGCATATATTTAATAAAGTTATTTTCACCTGACATACAAAAAGGTTGGATCTGGGGTTTGGAGTTTCCCCCCCCCGAATAGTATGAAGTTAACTATTAATAAGCCAGTAAAAACAGAAAATCATAATTAATCCCTTTCTTCACTGTCACTTATTTAGTACAGCAGAAAGAGAATGGGAAATCAGCCTTTCAGTGTATAAAGTGAACCCAGCAAACTTCTCAGTCAGAAGCCGTGGCACTGAACTCTAAGAACATCAGAAAGGGACTAAGGGCTTTGAAAATCATCTCTGTAGCTGCTTGGCAGTGTGGAAAATGCAGGAGATTTAAGGTATTGTGAAATGTAGCAGTGCTTAAAATCGAGTAACTCTGGTAGCTTTAAAATCCCTTTTAAACATATTAATGACCTAAAGAAGCTAAATGTCAGTGATGATTTTGCTGCAGAATCAGAGCTGCCCAAATTTCATTCACTACAAAGCAAACATAAAAAAAAGCAAATTACTAAAGGAATTAGTTTGTTGGCCAGTTTCATACACATCTAACATAATCATGTTCAGGAATATTCTGGGGAAACGTGATTCAGTAACACAGCTGTAGCAACAGTATGAGGAGAAACCTGGAATCAAAAAAGCAGCATCAGAAGACACCAGACCTGCACTGGCTATACCAAACCACACATATGGGGGCTGTTGAGCATGACTCAAATACAACTCCATGCCAAATCTACATCTTCAACTCCCAGCGAGACCGTGCTGTTACCATGGCTGCTGAGTAATACAAATCTTTGGCTGCGAAAGAAAATGAGTCAGTTGGGCCGGTGAAGCCATCGCCCTAAGATTAACTGAGCCCCAAACCCTTGGTGGCAACAGGACCTCTTGGGGACCACTATCACCTCCCCTGCATGAAAACCTCCAGTGTTTCCCCTCCCAGCAAGTCTTAAAAGTACAAAGTATGTATCTTGCGTACCTCGGGCATATGAAGGTTCAAGTATGCAGTTCATACCTGAATCATGACAGATTAGCCATCCCATTTTTAATTACATTCCCAATGCTCTCCAGCTGTAGTTAGGAGAGGCAGAGAAGAGAGCAGTCTAGCTCCAACGCAGGGGATAAGAGAGCTGGGGGACAAGAGAAACAGATGGAGTACGAGTTGAAGGACAAGGTGGCACCTTTACTTACACACACACTACCTATTTCGCTATTTTTGCTGCAGTGGATGCATGGGAGAGCTGGAGATGGGGAATGACTCACAGCTGTGCGATGCCTAAAGCTGCTGTCTGGGCGTCAGCCCTGCCTGCGGGCACCCCGGAAAAGAAACAGCCAGGGAAGAATGACAAACAAAAGGTCCTTCTGGAGGGTGAACTCCACCCTTCGGTCTGACACAGCAGCTCTTCAACAACGCGGGTGATGCCGCAAAGGAAGCCATCCGTGGCTATTATTAGAAACCCAACCTGAGCCTCTCCCCGCTCACAGAAGCGATAAGCTGAAGCCAGCAGAATACCTGCCTCAAATGTGTCATGTTGCCAAAAAATACTCTCTCTTCTGGACCACAACACCACAATGCTTCATCTCAGTCTCCATACTTCAGTACTTGATAATACCACTTCATATTTACCAGTGGTGCAAAGACAATTTACTGATATTTGATTAGACCAAAACAAATAACCGAGGAGGAATCAGCTTTATGGCAAGCAGACACAGGCCAGACACCAAAGAAGGAAACAAAAAATATTGCCTGTCTACCCTTCCTCTGAGCATCACGCACCCTGTTCACCGAGTGAGGCAGGAATCCTGTGCAAAGAAAATTAAGCGATCATGTAATTAAAAATTACATCATCACATATATATTCGAGGAGGCCACAGCCAAGGCTGAAAGGCAGCCTTAATTCTGACATTTGCTAACCAGAGCTAGGTTTGGCATTACAACCTTACGGGAAGAGAAGGCAACTTTATTCCCGAGCTCTCCCCAGATACAGCTGCTCTGATTCACCATGAATCAGAGCCATAAAGGAGTCACACAGGATTTTAGAGTTCTCTGATAAGTCTAAGGTCTACAGAGAGCTAGCTAGTCATATCGTGCACTGGCTCCTATCACACAGAAAACATTAACATCATTTATTATTAATTCCACAGCAACTGCTCACCTGTGAGCACTACCGGAGCATCAGTGGCAAAGGGAGGTGCGAAAAGCGAAGTACGTATAGTTGAGTTCTATGCGCTCCACAGTAAATAAAATAATTATGAGAGATGATTGATCACTTTACAATGAACCGCACTGTCGAACAGCATCATTGCCTTCTAAAAATGTTTTATCCCTATGCTAAAGCTCAGAGGAAGACCAGCACCTCAGCCACTACAGAAGGCAAGTTCAGAGTCACATCAAAGATGGTAATTCAGCTCCCTCCCTGACACATTCTCAGGAGATTCAACAGGAAGAAAAACACACATATACATATAAAGACTATGGCCATATGATCATAAATGCTTTAAATATTTAAATTTCTAAATAACCTGCCCTTAAGTAAGGCAGAATAAAAGACCAGATTCACCCTTCTGGTCAGCCTGGAAAGATGCACAAAGCCATTAAGCCAACCCCATCTCCTCTTCATCTGCAATGGCCTGGAGCACTCACGGTCAGCCACCACATCCTGCTGGGACCCAAACCTCAGAAACCACGCAAGCTTTATCACTTGTGGTCGTACACAAACATACCATCGTCATGTTTGCTGTCCACCAAGATTCCTAGAGAGCGATCTGATCTCTTCTAGGCATACACGGTTATTTGCCAAATAACTTCCATGGCTAAACCATGGCAGATTCAGAGTTAGGAGATGTCCTGCACCAGCTGACACAACCATGAGTCAACTGCGTGTCATCCTCCCACCCCCCAATAAATACCTTGCATAATCTTTTCAGTGTAGCAATGGAGACTTTCAAGGCAGTAACCAAACAAACCTGTTTTTCTAAGAGTCCTTCATTTAACGCAAGAAAAGCTAAATAAAGCAAGAGACAATTAAAAAGTAATCAGGTTGTTGGAAGTACTTTCAGTTATGCATTTTAATTTAGCCTTTGCTATGGTTCAAGAAGACTCTCAAATAGCAGCTCCATTTGATACGAAAATACAATCATATCTATAGAATTGCTTCACTTGCAGCTTGCCTGACTGCACAGAAATACTCCCAGAAATGGAACTGAAAAAACATTTCAGAGCAAAAGGAGGTATTTACTATTAATTGCAACAGCAAACTTATGAAAGCTAAATTAATAACTGTACTGACAAGGTAAGATCTGGTCAGAATCTCACTAAGTTCAGTTCTGCACTAGGGAAGAACAGAATTATTCCCGGAAGACAGTTAAATGCCAACCTGGACTTTTAAAGACCTTAAAGCACTCAGATTTACTTTATATCGCAGCATTAATAAAGATACACAGATACACAAACATGTCTTACGATAGTTTTAAGAGTGATCTTACCAGTCGGAGATTTTTCTCATCTTAAATTTACATTCACGTGAAGTACACAGTATGTTTTTAACAAGTTAAAACCAACACTTTCTGACAGACTATGCTTTTTAATCTTTTAATTTTCCCCAGTTATATAGTGGAAGCAATTCCAAATTCAGAAACTTTATCAAGCTGAAAACAGCACAGTGAAACCAGTGAAACAAAGTGGACAATATGCCTTTGAGAGTAGATCCTCTTCTTCAATCTTTTTCAACAGTGTCAGTAGAACAAAATATACACCTCTCACAAAAACTTTAAGAATACATTCCTCTCTCCTTTCTAAAGTGAAATCAAATTACAAGCATTTCTCTTCAGGATTAAAGCGCAAATATACTGCACAGAACACCTCAGCAAAGCACACAGAAAATGCACTTCACTCGTTAGGGGCTCTAAAAAGAGGAACTGTCTTTTTGCTGAAGGTTTCTTGACATCTTCACCAATAACAGCCAACTTATCAAATTGGCCTTTCTGCTTTCTGGACTAGTTCCTGATTTACAGTAGCTCAAGTGAACTGAAATAAAATAGCTTTAAACACCTCTGTTGCTTAATATGTTAAAGCCCCTTCTGTTGCTTGTTTTTGTGTATTTGATGTTCAGCCGTAATTACATCTTTTCCAATATATTTCTCATCTTTTGCAGAGATTTCAACTACTGAAAATTTGATAGCTTACCCTGCAATTGTAAAAAATAAGTAAATCATTCCTTGTCACAATGGTATATAAAGTTTCTGAAGTGATGGAATATTTAAAACTGAAAAAAGGCTTTCAGCAACTGTCATAAAAACTTTCAGGAGACAGGAGCTTTAGATTTCTTGCATCATCTTTATAGTCATGATTTCCACTCTGATAATGCAGACTGATACTGAGAGGTTTTGCAGATCCAACATAACACCCTGAGCACTTGAAACAATCTGAAGTGTTTTCTCTGTGTAAGCTAGGTTCTGTCTTTCAATACTTTAAGCACATTACTTGGAAAGAGATCACTTTAAAACATTTGTCTGAGGTAGAGTGGCAGTATCATTGAGGTCTGAAGCCAAATAAAGCTTTCCAGCAGCAGAAGAGTTAGAATCAGATGCATTCTGTGGCTTGTATCACAGCTGAAAAGCAAAACATTACCAGCTCAGCTAGAAGTTACTCTAGAAAATAAGTCACCCTGAACTAGCATCCTGGACAAAAATCTTTACACTAAATCTCACCAGCAGAAAACCCACCATTTCCTCTTTGCGTTGTGAAAAGGAACAGTTGTTACTGACCGAGAGCTGAGCGCTCTCCTCCAGCTGCCTCTTCTACCCACAAAGTATCGCTAGATTTTCTAAAATTCACACCACCCAACAAAAAGTGAATGCACAAGCAGGTTCACTGATTTTAAGATAAGCTTTGAAGAGCAAGACACCACATTGACAGACTAAAGCAAAGTTACCTGTTCAGTACGGGACTCCAGTTTTAACACCAGAGCTGACAAGCGCAGGTGGGGAGCGGCAGAGGCAGGATGCATGCCGATCCGGGCTTTGCTTCTGGGCCAGGCCCAGGTCAGACTTGGGAGGGAAGTGCACAAACTAATCAGTAGGTAGAAACAGAGTAATTTCATCTTGACTTGCAATAGTTAAAAAAACACCCTTACAATGTGAAAATCCCAACCTTCATACACCTTATAAAATTTGTCAGTATTATATCTTCTATGATCCTTACCTACTTACATATTTAATACACTAATGAATAATTTTAAATTCTCAGCCAGAATAGCATTTTTCAAATATATTATGTAATTTATATCATTATACATGAAGAGATTCAACTGAGTATCTTCTTGCAAGAGTTTTGAACTATTTACCTTTTTATTTAATCTACTGCCTCCTGCCATTATAATACACAAAGAAGCTCTGCAATCAACTCCTTTAGCACCCCCTATTTCACGTGCTTTTATAGTCCATCTTATTTAAGAAGGCATAATTCATCTTCCCATTTTCTCTTCAATTATTTTTTTCCCTTGAGTATTTTACTTACAGACTTAGAAAGTACTTGGTGGCTGGCAATATTTATTTTGAGATAACAATGACTATTGTATGCAGTGCACTCCAAAGGAGATATCACGGTCCATTTGTAGAGGCAGGGCACACCTTCTATATCCTTCAATACACAGTTTCTTCTTCACTGTAATGTCTCATTTGCTTTTCACAAGTGTCACTTTGAGTTTACAGTGATGTTATAGGTTCCCCAACAATTACAAATATATACTTTTAATATACTGTACTAAAACCTATCTGTGCTCTTCTCTCTGTTAGGAGCATTAAGCCACATATCAGCACTACCATGACTGTACACCTAATGAATTGTCCTTCTGGAGTTCTTCACATTCCTCTGACTTTGAGTAACTTAAATCTGGGCAAATCATTTTACTACTCAGATCTTCCAGGCTGTTGGTAAACACAGTGTCTATCACAGCCCTGCAACAGACCCCCTAAAAGGACCTATGAGAGAAAAGTGGGTTAAATGAAGTCATTAAACTTTTCCCAGGATAAAAGTTAAAGAAACAAGATTCCACAGGCCAACATGGTCAGGTTTTGACTCATTACAATACCAACTCTACAGTGACGTGGAGCAGGCTCCTGCAGCCTAACTGCAACATACTCCACGAAGCCCAACTTCCCTGTGGGGGGACGGAGTACATGAGCCTCTGAGCCCTTGATTTCTTGGCTAGATCACGTCTGGTACCTGAGCCAGCTGAGCGTTCCCGCATGACATTTCAGTCTGAAGGATGGACAGACATACGCTTACAGTTTGGGTGTTTGTAGTCTTCTATGAAGAGCCTTATTAGAATGATTAAAGTCAACCCTTGTCTTTTTATTCATATATTAATTGTGTGTGTGTGAAACCCACATCATCAGCAACACAGAATTCTCCTCTATGTAAGTGATACTGGTGGACCTTGCATCATAACATTTCTTCCAGGTAAGGGTTGTTTTTCACCCTGTTAATTATTTTACCTGTTTATTAGATACAAATATAAGGCTTACCAGTCTAATTCCCAGGACCAGCAGCACTATGACTTTTTTAAGTTACAGGGACATTTGGTACCATTTCTTCCTCTGGGTCAGTAGCTGCTTTTAAAGAAAGACTGAGTATTTTTCATCCTCAACCTCTGTTTAAGCTCCTTTGCTGAACTACTATAAACTCAGGATATCAAACATATTTGAGTGTTTTATAAACAAATATGAATACATTAAGATTCCATGAAACAAGTATTAGCAAAATCTGTTTTACCTATGAGTAAAGATACTACTAAGCTTCTTGCCCAAAGCCCCACAGCAAATCAATCAGCAGTGGAGGACAAGAAGGTGTCACTTCCAGGCTCTATTTGTGTGTGCTAGGCAATGCCTTCAGTGCAGTGTCAAGAAGGAACCATACAAACTGCATTGCAGTGCCACCACCACTATCAGTAACTGGACACTATGTTGTTCTCTTTATCAGGAGACTCTCCATCCTTTACTAACACCACAAGAGAATGCAGACCGCTGCTGGTAGGACAGCCTATGATTTAGAGCCAGACAAAGCTCTAAGGCTCCCATCAATGTAAGCTGCTGGCCTGTATCTGAAGGTTCTCCTATACTGAATTTAGGGTTTACTGCAAAAGTTCAGTGTTACTGCAACACCTGTTTTTAAGTCACACACTGATTTTTTTTTTTCATTCCCCCTCCCAGAAGCAGTTAAACACACAGGATATCATGAGTAGCTGAAGTGCAGCGCTTTTGAAATGCCCACATTGTTGACACAAGAAACTGATGCCCCTACTCATATTTACCTGGCTGTGTATTGCTTCGTGCCTCCAGCACTGAAGAAACAAGACAGCTTTCAGAAATCCCTGACATAATAGGAAGCAATCCAAAAGGCACAATGTGGCTAGCAGATGATGGTTAACGACAGCTTATCAGAAAGACTGTTTGTTGCAAAAGGAAAGCTGTGCAGTAGGACTAGCTTTGGACTTTATCACTGCAGTCCAAGTCCCTTTCCACACATTCCCCTCTGTGACCACCCAGACAATTAATTCATGAAGCTGCACTGGCTTAAAAAGAAAAATATTTGCCTTGTTCTTCCAGCCAAATACAAAATGAAAAGTCAGCAGCTTGAAGGGATTATTGAGAAAGTATGGTAGCCAGAATAATGCGACATAAGAGGGGGAAGAAGGCTCCACTACATTTTTTGTGTATTTTAATCAAGTGTTCCAACACCTTGGAATCACATACATTCAAACACAGATCTCTAAAACACAATTCTCAGAACAACATCCACTGCATCTTAAAAGTGTTATTATAAACTTGATTACTACAAATTATCTGCATTGTGACGGTTATTCTTAAAAGCTGAAAGTGGTCATTGACAGAGACCTATCTGTAGAAAAAAGAATTCCAAAATATTTTTGTTATACCTTCAAGAGCAGACTTCTGGTGATCTCATATTTAAACTTCAAAGGAAGCAATTTGAAAATAAACATTACAGGGGTGCAGTTGAAACCCTATATGGACTTCAGAAAACAGGAAAATGAAACTGGCTAAACAGAAGTGAAACTAATTTATTCGATCTGTTGAAGTTCATTAGAGGATGTCAGCAGAAAAAAAAAAACATTCAAAAAACAGCCGCTGTATTTTTGTTTAATGTGCAATGATAAACGCAAAGATGGGGTTTGTTTAACTACTCAACGCAGGCGAGGAGCAATTTTAAAGGGGAAAAAAATTTACCGACTTCTTGAAGCATACGTGTCCTGACAAGGAAGTTACATCCTTCTGATGTAAGAGGAAGATATTATTAGCGAAAAAGATTTCTAAAGCAGCTCGTTTCACCCAGGTAACTCTAGTCATGGCTCAGTGACTACTAAGACCAGAGAACCCAGGGCGAGCTCTGACCACAGAGAGCTGGCCAGAAGAGGAGGACGCTCCGAAAAACGCCTGCACGGCGGCTCTGCGGGGACAGGCACAAGCCGCCGCGCTGGCTGCGCTCAGGCGGCTGCCCGCGGCCGGGGCCTCCTCGCCCCAGGTCCCCACCTCAGGACCGGGGCGAGGGCCGCGGGCCCGGCCGGCCCCGGGCAGGGGG